GAGAGAGAGAGAGAGAGAGAGAGAGAGAGGTGGGAGGGCTGTTTTTGGCCCCCTTTCCATCTTTGCTACACAGAAAGCTCTTTGGGGCAACACCAACGAGGCTAAGATAGAAGCCTGCAGAGACTCCAAGCAGAGTCAGAGAAATTTGGCCTCGTTTTAATAGGGCTAGGGAATGAGCTCCGGAGGTCAATAAAGCCCTCCAAAAATGATGAATGATGGAGCACCTGTGATGATGATAGTGATTACCAGAGCAATTAAACAGTTTGATTAAATGAGCCATCATAACAATGATGTCTGCGGGAAATCGGCCCTCACATATAAAGAAAGATAGTTCGCAGAGGCTGGCAGAAGCGCGGATCGTGAGGCACCGGGCACAGAGGCTGTGGTCGGAGAGGTTTTTGCCCCGGTGGCCTGAGCAGCCACCGCGGAGCTGGGGTGGCTTCGGAGAGGAGAGTGTAGCCAAGGTTTTCCTCCTATTTGCCTGGGATATGAAGCCTGCAGGGTTTTTATTTTTTATTTTTTATTTTTTTTGGCGGAGGGGGGTTCCCTCCTCCACTTTCTCTCTCTCTCTCTCTCTCTCTCTCTCTCTCTCTCTCTCTCTCTCTCTCTGCCTCTCTCTTTTTTCCTAGAAGAACTCCAAGATTAAAAGTCCCCTTCTCATTTGACGCGGAGGTGCTGGTCGACATGTTTTTAAAAGGTGAGTGAAAAAGAAGACTCAAAGTGTTGTCTGCAGAATTTTATTTCAAGTGAACTGAGTTTAGCTGCAATAGTACAGATGAAGGAGAGAGAGGAGAGAGCGCACAATCTGGTCTCGCTGCAGAGCATTGTAGACTTTGTAGAGTTGTAGATGTCGGTGGGTCCAAGTTCTCGGTGGAACGTTCCTGGCTGAGAAGTTTATTCTCAGTTTTTCAGTGTTTACCCCTTCAGTTGTCCTTAAATTCAGCATTCTGTATTCATTGCCGCTGAGGGGATTATTGTTCTTTTAAATGTCCTAAGTAAACTTCAGTTACTTTTACTTTTTAAAGAAACTCCTCAGTTTCCTTGATAAACTCTTCTTTTTGTAAAGATCATCTTCAAGTGGAGCTTGTGCACCGCAGAGTCTAAACGATGAACGTTTTCTACCTTGCGCTTATTTTACCAGTTTCTTCTTTTTTATAGTAATATTGGCAGGATTAGCTGTGCATCCTTATAGCTTTGATTTAGATAAACTTCACTAGCATTTAAAAAAATGTTTCTTTTATGGCAGTGCAGCTAAATAAAAGCCATTCAGATTGATTTCTATCAATTAATACAGTAACCATTTACTTGCAGTAATCTCGGGTTTTACAAAAGAAGAAAAGTCTTTATACTTTGGGCAATGCAAAAGGCATTTTAATCTGAATTCCCTCACTTCCTTTATTTCTCGCTAACATTTTTTTGCATTTTATTGAATACATTAAAGTAAACAATGGGACAGTCTAGATAGGTGTAGGAAGGAAAGGGGTGGCATTTTATGATTATGTCACAGAAACATTCATCTTTACCTTTAAAGACTTTTAGTTAAGGAGTATGAGAGTCTTAAAAGTGTATTTCTGCTGAAAGACATCTGTGTAGTTTTCAAATTCAGCAGTTACTTAAAGGGAGACCCCTAATTTTGCAACTAAAAAGATTTCAAGCAGCCTGTCATTTGTGAAATTGTTAGTTTAAAATGGCAATCCGGTGTAGTGATACTACACAAGATCAAATTGGAGTTGATTTGGGGAATCAGTTCAGGATCAGTCTGATGATTTCAAAGGACTACTATTAGTTACAGTCATCAACTTGCAGGCATTTTATTAATATACCTGAGGAAGGCTCATCTGCTACTTAGGAATTTTATTGACTCCCCGCCCCCAGGTTTCCAGTCCTGTAGAAATCATTCCACAGCAGTGGGGTGACTATTCCTTCCAATTTCTTCCCGCATTTCCAGCCATAGCCCTACCATCCAGGCTTGGAGGCTCCTTTGCTTGCCCACCTTTGGAGAGATGGGAAAGTGGGTGGGGCAGACTGAAGAGACAGGCAAGAGATGGGGGTCAGAGGAGGCGCCACAGACCTTCTTCAGCAGTCAGCTCCTTCTGCCCAGGCTGGAAATGGTTTTAACAGGCGGTAAAATTTCATCTTGCGGTGTCAAATTGGGGTCATTTTAGGGTTAGAGTTCTCAGTGTCCGAGAGGAGCTGTCCAGCTGCGTGGGGACTCATTAACTGCAAAAGATCTGTTTCAGTAAAAACAATTCCAAGACAATCAGAAGGCTAAAGACCCTCTACAAATCGCATTTTACAAGTGCCCCAGAACAAATATGGATGGTGAGACCTATTTCTTCGGAATCCCAAATCAGCTACTTAGCTTTGGAGTAGGGGGTGGGGGCACTGCATTAAAAAAGAAGTGAAAAGGAGGGGACCAAGGAGGTGGAAGTGAATGGGAGAAGCAATTGGGCCTCTCAAATTTAAGAGTCTGGTTTTAATCACTCCTTTCTTGTTGAAGCATCCCCAAGACTTCTGAAAACGGCTTCTTTTCTGTTTTTCCTTTTTTTGCCCCAACATTTAATGTCATTAGAGGTAACATTCAGGATTTTAAAAGTATAATTTAATCCCCCTGTAGTTTCTTAATTTGAAGGACACTGGCTTTATGGAGAGTAGTTAATTTGAAAGGAACATTTATAAGCTCAGACTTCATTTGAGGCCCATTTACTCTTGCTCCACAAGAACCCTATGTTTCTTTTTATCTTCCCCCCCCTTGCTTGAAAGTTGTAGATCCTTCACACATAACTCCAAATTCTTCAGAACAGTGAGAGCTGAAGTGCTAATCTGTGTATTAAAATCACCGAATTTACATCCTTTTTGTATTCTTACAACAGAACAATTGATGCCTTTCTAGAGGAACAAATAAACCCAACCTTAATCTTGTTTGTAACTTTAGTTAATGTTTTGATTTGGAATATTTTGTACTTTGGTTTGAAAGAAAGGTATGAATTATTCCTTTGATTTTTGCACAGATTCTTTCAGGTAAAAGGAAACTGCAGTTTAAAATAAAAGCTACATGTGTGAAATGCCACAGATGTTAGTATAAAACCAAATCAGTATTTAAAAGTAAAATATCACATGAAGTGGTTTTTTTCTTTTGTTGTTGTTTTCTCCCTTGCATTACTGAACTAAGCAAGTGAAAGAGATTTAAAATGTTTTTGTTATCTCTTTCTTTCTCTGGGCTTCCTTTCGGTCACAGATTTTTTCTCTCCAGCCACACAAGTTTTCTTTGAGTCCTAAAGAACATGTTGAATTTTTGTACCCTAGCTCTTTCCTCAAAGCTTACCAGAGCATTTCTAAATTGTTCTTCAAGGAGTTTAATTGCAGTCCTGCAAAATAGCCCAGAGCCCAGCATTGCTGGGACAAAGGCTGAGGGGGCTGTCTTCTTCCCCAGACCTGCTGGCTGACAGTTGGAATTTTTGATATATATTTTATTTGGCATTTCCAATAACGAGTTTGTCTCCCTACCCCCACCCCTTGGAGCCATCTATTACTTCTAAAACCTCTCCTCTCCGTAAACCTGTAAACCTCGGCTCATCCTTCTGAACTGTTCTTGACCTTCCCAGCAGTGTAACTAACAATTCTGAAAGTTGGGCTAAAGAAAATTCTCTTCATTTCTTTATCTGTTAACTTCCTTCTCTTTCCTCCTACCTGAGATCAACAGGGGGAAGAACTCTTTCTTTTGCTTGATTTTTGTTTTGCTTTTGTGTTGCTTGTTTTTGTTTTTAGTTTTTATTATTATTGCCTTTCCCCACTTAGGCTACTATGGATTCTTCTTGAGGCAATTAACAACAATAAATAACCCTACACTTTATTTAACAAATGGACTAGAACGGGTTCATTGTATTTTCTTTCCTTTTGCCCTGTCTTAATTTCTCCCAATTTTAGCAGTTTCACCATCTCGCGGAAGAAAGGGTTTCGATAAATAGCCCTCTAGCGCTATCTGGCGGGGCTCCAAACGCGCAGTACGCCTGCTCTTGCAGTCTCCCCCTGCACCCTGCGCTGCCTTCCTCGCTCTCTTCCTTCCTCTGGTCTCTTCCGCTCTTTCTCTCTGTTATCCGCCCCCCTTCCCTTCTCTCTCATTCTCTTCTTTAGTTCCTGCCCCGATTCTAGAGCGGACAGATGGGAAAGGTCAGGCCGGGAGGCTGAGACCCCTCACCACCGCAGGGTGGTCCGGCGCCGCAGCGCTTCCAGGGTCCCTGTCCCTCCCCAGCGCAGGTCACACGCATCCAGGGCCTTGGATCAGCCACGTTGTGTTGCTGAACTTGTTGCGTAAAGCCCCATGTGCTCCGCTGGGGTTGGCTCGAGAAGCTTAAAACTGCATTTGTGAAGTTTGCAGGAAGGAAATCAGACACTGGAATCTTGGCTGTCGGAGCCCAGCTAAGTTTTAGGTCAGAAGGCCGAGGCTCAGTGTGCCATTGAGGAAAGGTCGGGGCTTCACAGCGGTGGGAACAGCGAGTCGCGGCGCCCGGCCCCCCGGCAGAGTCGGAGCAGGGAGCAAGCGGTTGTCCACGGCCTCTGGAGACCGCACCACACAATGGACCGCTCCCGAACCTGCATACTGGGCTTGTCGGGTTTTCTTTTTTATTCAAGTAATCAGTTTTATCCCCCGCGCCCCTCCCGCCAGTACGCCAAATTGGGAAAGGAGGGGTGAAGAAGAGGAGCAGGAAAGCTCTCTAGAAAACCCATAGGGCTGAGAGCCAACAGAGAGCGCGGGAGAAAGTCAGCGGCTAGATGCAGTACGGACAGCATCCTCCTCCTGCCTCACAAATTGCCTTCGTCCTCTTGTTTGGGGCTTGTTTTTCAGTGACAGCCAACACCCAGCAGTGTGAGGGGAGGTCAAAGGGGAAAGAGGATAAAGGAGAGATTTGACTAAGAACTGAGTGCTGTAGGGTGAGAACTAAGATTCAATTATAATTTTCTCTGAGGCGCTCACACGCACGCGTGAACACATGCACACCCACGCAGCCTGAGAGATGTCCTCAGTGTCCCCTTTGAGCAAACCCCTTCCATCTGGCCCTTGAAGACCTGGGAAGGACATGTCACCTGAGGGAGAGATATGAATGTGTTTTCTAAAATTTAGTTTACCCTTTGCAAAATAAGAATGTGGGGCCATATTCCCAGGACAGACCCGGTAGAGGAGAGGAAGTTGGTCTGAGACATCTGAGATCAACCACACAAAGCTTCATTCCCAAATCTGAAATCTGACTCCATCAGGAAAAAGGAAAGCAGGGGAAAGGAGGACACCCTCTGAGGCTTTCTGCCCCAAGAATTGCCCCCCACCCCCACTGCTGAGGGAAGAAAGCACCATTCGGGTGTAATTAATTGAAGACTGTTATTAGGTCATCATTAGCCAAGGTGCAAATAATTGCTGCCCATTTTTACTTAAAATTGACCAGCCCCAGAGTGATAGATCGATTCAGAGTATAAAAATGATGTATCAAAACATCAATGTCGATTATTTGAAATATTGTAGTCGAATTTTTTTTATTGCTTCATCGGTTAAGTGTCTGAAAGTGCAGTGTTCAAACATATATTTATGTTGTCAATACTGTCAGAACTGTCAGTTTTACTATACCGGATTTGTACTACATTTCGAATTTCCTCATTTACATAAAATGCCCACCCTAGGCTTCCCCCATCCCCCTACCCTATCTCTGGAAAATCCATGTCAATTCCTTCAAAGAATTCAGCAATTTTTTCCTAAGCTAACCTGTGCACTGCCTCTGTTACTCGATTTTCCACGATGGATTACATGTCTTTTTTCACCATTTCTAACTTTCAAAGATGCTTCCTCCTTTCTGCCTAACTCTGCCTATCCTAACCTATTCTCCAAAATGGTATTGAAACAATCACAAAGTGTCAGGCTTAAGTACCCCCATCCTAGCCCCCAAATACACTATTTGGGCAGAAAAAATGATTTCACTGTACCGCCCAATGCCCCCCATACGCCAGACTTCTCACAGGTGTTACAATCCCTCATTAAATTACCTGGAATATTGAAGTCTTCCAAGAAAAACGAATTTGGAAATAAAAATGCTTTTTCTTTCTTTTTACTTAAAAGCTGTGATGGCAGAAAAAGAAATAATACATATAAATGATCGGCACGTTTTTACCTTTGAAAGCTTTTAAACTCAGTGGAAAGACACAAGTTGGAAACAGAAGTGACAGTTTTAATTCTACCCATTTTCACCTGGCATGGCAGATCAGAGGCATTTATTTTTATGGGGTGTGCACTGGGAAGGTGGATAGAAAGCCTGAAACACTGAAGTCTCTATCCTAAAATTCCCAGAAAAATTAGAGATTTTTATTGAAACACAAACGTTCCTTAACTCTGTATCTTCCTTCTAGACTATCTGAAATTTATAAATTCACATTATGGCTAATTTAATGCTTTTTATTTTTTTCAGGATTCCTTGAAATCTGATAGAAAGGACAGGACCACTTCTGGACTAGCTGTAAGGATGTGTTTTTGTTTTTGTATAGCACAAACAAATTTCATAAACCTTTTAGTGTAGCTATATAAGTCTGTTCGGACTTAAAAGAAGGGAATGCACAAAGATAGCTTGGCTTTACGACCTCAATCCAGCATTAACGAGAAAAAAAATCTGAGAAGTTTTTTTCATATTCATCCTTGACTAAAAAAGAAAAGAAAAGAAAAACTAAAGAAAGTTTGCAGCTCGCATCTGTAGGCTTTCGTGTGCTGGCGTATAAACATCTTCCAGTCGGTGTTTCCTCTCTCCTGCCAGTTAGGAAGGCAGAGGTATCCAGAGATCGCCCCCTGAGAGCAGTGTTTACTTAGGGTTTTTTTTTTTAAATCTCTCCACCATGTATGACAAGTGTTACTTCAAGAAATTCCTCAGCCTCTACAGACACTTGCAGTTTTGCTGCAATGATGTGCAGAAGAGAAGCGCCGTCACTTTACACAGGGATGCAGAGACAGGGGAGCGGAACTGCCACACTTCATTACCTTGGGGAGGGAGGGGCGTTGGCCAGGACTTGGGCGGGGCGGGGGACAGGGACATCCCCTTCCCTCCCCCAGCACCTCCTCCCCCTCCCCAGGTACCTGGAGCGGGCTCCAGAGGGCCTCTGAGAATATTTGGGAAAGGTATGGTTGCCTTTTTTCTTTCTTTCTTTAATTCCTTTAGGGAGAAGTGATACCCTTGTGTAACAATTAGCTCAAACAATAAATATAATTGGAAAATCAGTCGGAATTTCTGAGTTTTTAATTACGTTTAATTTTGTACTAAGCCGTAAAATTACGAATGCCCCTCAATTAAACACTTTCCTCTTGTAAAGCGTTTAACAATAATTATTCCTTAATCAGCCTGAATGTGAGTCACAAATGGGGCTTTTCCACATCAAAAGGACGTCCTTCGATGTTACCTTTTAGTCATAAGAGGATTAATTCCTATAATTAAAGGGATAAATATGTGCATAAATATCTCTTTCACTCTTTAAAAAAAAAAAAAAAACACTTTCACTCTGAGACATGGTGGGCTCTGGCAGGGAGTTTGCTGTCACCGTCCGCTGAGCTCGGGGTCCCTGGCGGCCGCGCAGTCGGGGCCCGCGGGGCGCAGTCAGCCTGCCGCACCTGTGCGGGATGCACCGAGGCGCAAACTGTGGAGCCCCCCCAGACCCCACCCACTTCGGGCGCCGTCCCTGGACAACGAGTCACCTTTCACCTTTACCCTGCAGGGCGCGGCGACCACAGTGCTTTCGGGCGGGTTCTCGGGTGCAGAAAGAAGAGCTCAGGTCACGGACCGAAGCCGCCTCTCCAGGTCGACTCTCCAGGCCACAAATAAAAATCGAGCATGACCTTACAACTCCTGCGTGAATATCTCATTTACCTAATGACTTTATGTCACCTAAGAAGAAGGTCAATTTCCTCTTAACCTTTTACCCTGCTGCTGCAGTAAGCATTCTTCCCTAATCAATGGTGGCTGGAATAATCAATTCCCATTTTATGATCGCTGACAAACTCAATCTCTGGGCGGTGCTAGCGCGGCGGGACTCTCTCCGGCGGGGACGCAGGGATCCTGGGCGCGCCCGGCTCCGCCCGGCGCCACAGCAAAGCTGCGCTCTCTCGGGTCGAGTTCGGACACCTCGGAGAACTTCCCTCCCCCCAGCCGCCGGCGGGACTTGGGAGTTGTCACTAATCCGAACCTGATATTCAGCAGAGCTCGCGGAGGCTCCGCGCTCCTGCTGGGGGCCGCCCCCGCCCCGCCTCAGTGTTTTCCTTTCCAAGTCTGCAGGCAGGGATGGCCCGACCCAAAGGAGTGTGTGTGTGTGTGTGTGTGTGTGTGTGTTTCATTTAAATTTTAAAAAATATTTTGCCTTCTTCAATGTGTATCTCTCAACTCTTTCCATCGGTCTTGAACTGGCTAACTTTGCATAAACAAAGCAACGACAGAAGTCCTAGAGTTGGTGAGGGAAATTCTCTCTCTCTCTCTCTCTCTCTCTCTCTCTCTCTCTCTCTCTCTCTCTCCCCCCTTACCTCTCCCTCCCCCCTTTTTTTCTTCCCTTTTCTTTCTCCTCCTCCACCTTCTCCCATAATACTAGGCTATCCTAAGAGGTTTATCAAGTACCACTTTGTCCCTATTTAAATTTTTCAACTTTTCTTTAAGCTGAAGAAATTACTACGTCTAATTTGAAAGGTAATTTATGGGTGAGTTCATGCTTCTTTACCTTCTTAAGATCTAAGTATAAACCCCAGCTTGTTCCACTGGCTCATAAAGTAGATGCTGGTTTTTCTAGGGACACAATCTGTGTAAAAAGGGATCTCTGAACGCTGGATCCCTGTAGGTAATTGCAATTCTTTTCCTCTTTTTCCACCCTAGCCCCTAGCCCCACTGCAAAGACGTGAGCTGCTGGCTATTATCAAACAATTTTAAAAGCCATGCTTAGGTATGATTCAATAACAAGAAAGTCATATCTCTTGGATAATGCTGTCCTGTATACAAGCTCTTGTTGATTTTTTGAGATTCCTTTAAGGACTTAATCTCTGGTTACTGAATGACCAGTTAAAACAGCCCCAAACCAAACTTTCTCTCCTGGGGCTGCTCTCCTGGGCTTGCCTTGTGGATGGTGATAATCCTTAAAAAGGGAAATTAAATCAGGGCACCTCACTACTTGTGGGCAGATAGTCCACTAACATTTTGAAGGGTTTTTTTTTTTTTTCAAACAATCAAATGGAGAGATGACTCTTACATCTTTAATCCCTTTACCTGGTATAAAAAATAAACATATAAAGCATATGAGTTTCAAGTGAGTCACTGTTTATCCTCAGCAGTCTCTAAGTCCCAATGACCCAGCAGTCCAGCCACCTGAAACTGGCAAGGCCCCTTCTGCCCAGGGCATGAAGGTGACCTGACCTAGAACAGGGAGCGCTCTGTTCCCTGAGTCCTAACTTCGTCTTACTGTCATCCAGTAAGTCCTTTTGCACTTCTTGTTAAGTTAGATCCCAGATTTAAATGAGCATAGAAAGTTGATGAAGTCCTGAATCACAGTTCATAATACTTTGGCTTTTAGAGGATTTGTTTCATGTTTCCTTTTACTGAGTTAGAGCCCTCATTGGGCTACCACCTGTCTGTAGGCCAGGAAGTCTTGTCAGGGAAGTTTTCCATTAGGAGTCCTGAATGGGACTTTTATCTCTATTTGACAGAGGAGCAGACAGCCTGGGAAAGGGCCCCTTGACCTCAGGTAATTACTCCAGTCTTCCTTTTTAAGCAAATTTAATTCTCACCTGATGAGTAATTAGCAACCTTTGACTACTCACCCTGTGAGAATTTCCTTTCCTTTAAAAAAAAA